ACTGAGGTTAGATGGTGGGGGTAGGGTTGTATTAGGGAGAAATACTGAAAGTCGTGGGTTGAGAGGGAGTGGCATAAGGAATAGGGACTTTAAAGGACCACTACCTTTCCTGTATATCGCCCGCGGGCATCGCAATTCAAATTTCAGAGGCCAGGCGTCGCCGACGATACGATGATTCAGAGATCAACGGCGGCCCGGGCACAAAAAATGCGGTGGAGGTTACTCTTAAGACTTAGCTCCCAACCTGCAAAGTAGTGGTGGTTAGAAAAAGAAAAAGGGGAAAAAAAAAAACAAGAGGAAAATTTTCCATCATTCTACAAAACAAAACAATCCTTATCAACTCTTTTATGGATTCACCACACTTCCTGAGGAAACCCCCCCCAAATAGGTCTAACCCTTTTCGTGGGGCCATACTTGCATAAACACCCCCTGTCCAATATATTCACTTCCCATGATTCATTCCAAGAGACAGGAAGAGCAACTCCAGTCTGGAGGCCCATCTGACATAATGCACAAAGCCTCTGAAATGACAACTATATGCATAAAGGACTGCTGCCTGAAATAAAATAGGGGACATGCAACCCTGGAGATAGGGGAGTTTTCTCTGTTGTGGTCAATCAACCTCCCCCCCCAATAGGGAGGACACTAAACAAAATTCTCAACAAATTGAGGCTACAACTAGGCTACCAGCCGGGCCGCCCGGGTCACCCTGTTTTCCCGGGGGCCCCAGCCGTCCAAAGACCAAGGAAGGTCCCACCAAAAAATGAAAAAATAAATAAATATCTAAAACTCTATATATATCGTCACAAACAGAACTGCCCAGTAAACCGTAGGCAGAGAGAGAGAAGAGGACAACAAACGAGGGGCTGTGACATTTATATATATATAGACGATATATATATATGTTATACAGAAAATTAAACTGAACAACTTCTGCCTTCGTGTCACACTGAAATTGTTTACCTTCTTTCTTCTTCTTTTTTTTTTTTTTTTTTTTTTTTTGGCTCAGCTGGGCATGTGGTCTTGGGCCACTCTCAGCTGGTATCCTAGGGCTACAATGTGTAAAAAGGGACACTGGACCCGGTTTCCAGCAGGTGTGGCTCCCCACCAATAGATTGGAGTCATGGAGTCATTTGACGGTGTTGTCGAGCTACCAAACCATGTCCGAACCAAATTCTGCTATTTACTCGGACTAATCAGGAGCCTCAAAGGGAAAAATGAAGGCCAGGGTCCCCATGTTACTCAGCAGGCATGAGGGTTGATGGTCCTTTTTTTTTTTTTTTGGGGGGGGGGGGGGGGGGGGGGGGTTTACTTCAGTAGGTCAGAAAAACGATTTATAATTGCACTATGGGGCAAGATACAGTTTTCAATTGCACTTCGAGCACCGTACCTGGCCGGAAAATTGGGTTGTATATTGCAGTTCGAAACTGTCTCTTGGCCCATAGTGCAATTATAACTCATTTTTTCGTGACTCCCGCATAGTTTCCCCTTTTTTTTTTTCCCCCCTGAACATAGGCTTTGGAACTGATGTATGGGGCTGGTACGCGCAACATAGGCTATGGAACTGATGTAGGGGCTGGTACGCAAAGACTCCTACAGCACGTCCATAGTGTATGATGGCCCCAATCTATTGGTTGGGAGCTGCTCCTGCTGGAAAAATGGGTCCAGCATCCCTTCAAATATTGAGACATTTCTGCCGAGCGGCGAGCCTATCATTATTTTGCTTGCATACATACTACAGATTGCTATCATTATTTTGCTTGCAAATATTGAGACATTCTCCTTAGTAGATGTCCGACACTGTTGGGCGCTGCTACATGAGACCGGGACCAGCCTCCTCTTATGGTGAAGAGATTGCTACAAAACTGATCTTGGACCTTGCCTGAGTATTGTTCTCAACTTCTCGCCTTTGCTTTCTGGTCATCAGAACCCATAGGGCTCTGGCTGTCACTGCTGCCAGCAATGTCTGAGCTTCCATATCTGGATGTTCAGCCCTTCGCTTCCTGTTAGGGGCTTCCTCCTTGCTTGGACAGGCCTTAGGGAGGGGCGAGGGGTGTTGGGTTGTTGGGGGGGGACAAGGAGAGGAGGACTCCAGTGTTGTGGGGGTGTCGGAGGGGGTTGAGAATAGTGCCCCTGGGCTTGTCGGTGTGTTGATGTGGAGGTGTTTATGACGATGAAATTGGCAGGTAAGTAAGAGACTGTGAACTGACTGAGAGCCTTTCTCTGCCAGCTGTTTTCTGTACCCCTCCAACTTGAAGGCTTCCTTTTTTTTTTTTTTTCCCCAAAAAACAGAACCTTATGGTCCTGGCTCCTTTTCCATTCTGGGGAGCATAAGTCCGGTTCCTATTCCACCGGGAAGTCCAAGATAGTACAATGTTTACTCGCTCACGCTCCTCCCCCTTATGGTGTGGAGGCTAACTTGAAGGCTTCCAAAGAGTGTCAGCCATAATTTTTTGAAGGCTTCCAAATAGTGTTCAGATGCTCATCTAGACCGTAGTAG